AAGATTACAAAGAACAAAAGGTGCATTGTTACCAAATTTAGTGATCTAACAACAACAAAAAAATCTTGGAAACACGTTGCAAAAGTCAACAAATCTGGTTTTGCATGCCATCTATGCTGCCATACATCTGACTCACGTTGAACGATACGCTCTTGCCAAAGTGCCTAAACCTTTGCCCGGAATAAAAATTCTAAGGTTGAAAGCAAGCCTTGACTGAAAGCTGGACCTTTGTTTAGGTTTATGTCTTTGTATGCCTTATGTTCATTCACTGAATAATAAGTAAACTGGTGGATTTATGAACCTCAATAACAGCTTTGTTATAAGCTGTGAGAACTGGAACATCAAAATATCACAGGTAGCAAAATAATTTTTCTTGATGAACTTCTGCGATACCCATTACCACATTTCAAATTCCTACTAATATTTATCAACACAAAGTTTCTTCAAATAGTATTATCACTTTCTTTTTATTTTTTATTCTGAGAAGCAACACATTAAATGACCAAGTAAAAGTTACTGAGTTAAGATTTTGATGACCATGCTTTATGCAAGACAGTCATGGAAGACTAGTATACAAGTTTTACCCTAGGTTTATTTTTACGACGACTTTATTTTGTTTTCAAAACGAGGTTTTATTTCTAAGTTAACAAATTTCAAACTAAGTTTTACGCGAAACGAGTCTATGGAAAAGAGGATGTGTAATTATTTTTGTTTGTTTGTTGGTATAGTTATAGAATAGACTATCTGTGTCGTGTTCACTATAGGAATCGAACCCTAAATTCAACGTTATAAGCTTTCTGATTTACAAATGAGCCACGGGGGATGATGCATTTTTTATATGAGATGCATTCCCATCAACGGTCAAATTTGCTAAGCCTTGTGATTGTCAGCTTAAATTACATTTACTGGAACTGATTCAGTTCGTGAAGTTGAATTATTTTTAGTTTAAATTTTAGATATATTCACCACGGTTTTATGTGTCGTGATGTGATACACAGTGGTTGATCACAAGTTAGATCTGTTTCTCTATGCCAGTTTAAACGCTACTGATTAAAAATCAACTTAGTATTTTAAGCTGGAAAAACTTGCAGTTTACATGTATATGTATTTCCTGTGGTTTTGTGTATAGTTATAAAGCACATGGTACTGGTCTACTTATCAAAGTATCGATTTAGGGTAATTGAGCTCTTGTCATTTCCACTCGCTAAAGTATCTTCATTGTTTGTCCTTGTGGTTAGGATAAACCAGCTATATTTGTATTAGCACAGATTCCTTATTCTGTCTTTGCTTTGTAACTACTTTGCTTGCGAAATGTATGAAACAACAAAACTTTAATAGCTACAAGTGTGGTAAAATTAAATATCCTCTGTATTCTAAAACATTTTTATCTTTGTTTTATATTTATTTTTCTTACACCTTGTACGTGTATGTAATGAATTACAGCCTGTTTACCATATCTGTTCTATCATTGCAATAGGCAACGCAGTTTGTCAATAAAGCTGTTACACTCTGTTTACCTATGTTTGTTCATAGCTCCAAGCTGAAGTTAATAATTTTCTTAACCTCTCACTATACAGCTGTGATGTTAGTACTTCAGATAATTCCCTACCCAACTCTACAATGTAGTTTGTTTAGACTTTAAACCCGACATACTTAAGATAACCCGCATGTTTTACCTCAACCAATGGCTAGTATAGTATCACTTGTAATGATTAAAATAACATGGTACACTGGCTATACCCCTTCCTCCTACGTACTAATATTAACAACTGCTTAATTGCTAAAAGCTAACGAAAACAGTTGATATTAGGGGGTTAAAGCAAACTACTGCGATTGACTTGCAGTTTCTGATTATCTCAGATTCTGATACCTTCTTGTAACTTTGTATGAATTTCATTATTTGATACTTGTTCTTCAAACGCAGTTTTGAAACGTGTATTGTCGCGTTCTAGTAAATTAGCTATTTTTGTACAAAAGTGGAGCTCTAGTGATTGGTAAGAGCCGACATTTCTACATTTTTCATAATATAAAAGAAATAAACTAAATTTGAAGATGTAATAACGAAATTGAAAAATTGTAAATATCAAGATATTCACACGGACTAAACTTCATATCATTCAATGGAGAAATAATACAACCGAAAACACATACCTTGAATTCCGCAAAGGTTTGACAGTACCATTACGTTGCATGACTAGGTATAGCCCCAGATTTTATAAACAGTTTGCCAAAAGGACCAGAAAAATAACACGTAACTTAAAGTTCTCATTTACTTTACGCGGTATTATGTCTATATATATGTTGGATTCGCCTCTAATATTAAAACAAATTCAGGTTACTGCGTGACTTTGTGTTACACACACTTAAGTACTTTATTATTTTGAAGCTAGAAGAAATAATTACTGTTATCTATCTTATATCTGTTGTTACATAAACATATAAAGCATCTAATAGAAGTTGTTTTTGTTTGGTTTTTGATATATTGAAAGTACGGAATATTCTTATCAGTAACAAGTAAGCACATTTCCAAAAATAAAAGATGGAATTCAGAAGAAAAAGAAAAAAATATCTATATAACCTTAGGGCACAAGAGAAGTTTAGAAGACCTAAAACAGTCAGGTTAATGCACTCAAAACACTTCAGACTGGTGTAAGTCACGTGGGACTGGTGTAGGTCACGTGGGACTGGTGTAGGTCACATTTGCCCTTTTATTTTATAGTAATAAAACGTGCAAAAAAAGGGGAAATATCGGCTCTAGCTGCAGTGGTGGCGAGTTTGTTTTTTACGATTGTTAAAAATGCAAATACATAAAGTAGGTTATTCAATATAATATATATTATACTAAAACGAAATGTCACAATACTTACATAATTTATTTACTTATAAGACATATAATTGTAAAAATCACGTATTTATAAACCATGTTCATTTAATACCCAACGTGTTTATTTCATATCAAAATGTTTATTTGATATATTCTATGCTTACTTAATATCATTACACCGCGACTGCTGTAATACGAAACTGATCGATACGTTAAGTGTGTTTAAACTCACTGTAATATACCTTGTATTAATAATGATTAAGATACTGGTTGCTAAGTGCTGCAAAAATGTATTTCAACTAATTTTAATAGGACTATCATTGATAACGAATGCAGGTAAACAACATGTTACGTATAACTTATCTCTGTGTCAGTTATAAAGGTCAATAGATAGGTTGCTACGTGCTGAATATTCTTCGAAGAGTGCGCTAACTTTTTACGTACAATATACAAAGTGTTTCGGGTGGAAATCGTTTGTCATAATAACCATTTTTTATGCTAATGGTCTTCAAACTTTACGAAACAATCACGTTTTTCTGTACAAATGGCACCAAAACTTTCGTGATTACGCCTCAAAAAACAATAATGAAAATTTAAGCCTATTGGCCATCGTTAATATTGTTATACACATTGGTGTTTGTAGTTCCAATATCGTTTCATGAATCCATTATTAGATTAGTTGAACTAGTCATATAACAGTGTAGAGATACATATAAGTAGATACTGATTTTAGCAAGTTTCAAAGCTGTGATATATCATACTTCGGTTAGCAACTCCTTCTTAAAACCGAAAGATGTACTAGCAGTAATTAATCATTACCATCTACTTCCTGTTGCAGATCAAAGACAGCCACCTGAATGTCTTTGTTAAGAAGTTCCTTAAACCAAAGAATAACAAGAGGTTTACTACAGTTGGATTTTATTTCGTTAAGAAGTTAATCAAACCGGAGATTAACGAGAAGTTTACTAAAGTTGGACTTTACATCGTAAGAAGTTAATCAAACCGGAGATTAACGAGAGATTTACTAAAGTTGGACTTTACATCGTTAAGAGGTTCATCAAACCGGAAATTAACGAGAGGTTAACTACAGTTGGATTTTACTTCGTTAAGAAGTTAATCAAACCGGAGATTAACGAGAGGTTTACTAAAGTTGGACTTTACATCGTTAAGAGGTTCATCAAACCGGAAATTAACGAGAGGTTAACTACAGTTGGATTTTACTTCGTTAAAAAGTTAATCAAACCGGAGATTAACGAGAGGTTTACTAAAGTTGGACTTTACATCGTTAAGAAGTTCACCAAACCGGAAATTAACGAAATGTTTACTGAAGTTAGATTTCACATTAAAGTTTTGTTGTTGATGAATCATGTAAAGAATTAAAACCACTGACGCTATACTTATTCAAAGATCAACCACGTTTTGTATATGCACGTACTTAAATTCAAATGTGTGTGTACTATTACAATTACATCTCTATATTTTCCCGAATATAATCACACTGGTATATATTGTAAAGTTTTAAGATAACGACAAATGTTTTGAGTGTTTTCTATAGCAGACAACTAATGTATTCAAGTGCTTTGTAAGCAATAATACCTTTTTTATTTCACTATTCTAGTTACTGTGTTACTTTGTTTGACAAATCTAGGTTAATAGTAGTACATTTAGGTCTAAGTTAAATGTATTAAATAGCATCCTAGTGACGCGTTAGTAAAACTAAGATCAAAAGTTCTGTAACAGCGATGGTTTTCCTACTAATTATCCGATGCAATATGTCATCAACATAAGGTTTAGTACTCTTATCACTTTAAATTACATAATCCTTGTTACGGTAATTACTCATCTTAATTTCTAATTATAATAATACGTCTTTTAATCTGCCCTATGATAAACTGTTTTTGACAAGATTTAAAATAAATAACTAACATAAGCAATAACTTCACAGTTAGGTAGACCCAAAGTTCATAATTTTGTATCAAGTATTTCTTGCAAGTTTTTCAAGCTGTTGAGCTTGGATGTAGTAAGCTTTACGAAAACATGTTTATTTAAGCTAATGAATTTCATAATCCATAATTTCTAACGTGTGACTAACAGGATCCATCTCACCTTTCAAAGCACCACTCAGTTTCGAATATTCTGATAACCAGATTATGATGAAATTACAAACATACGTTACCTCAGGCTTATCATTCTCGTGAGTTTCCAACAGCTCACTTCCAAGGCTCCATCTTCTCTCTTCTGTTACACGGCTGGAGACTCGACGTTCTTCAGGGTTGACTCCTTCGCCTCCACTACTGTGTCTCCTGAGAGTGAGTCGGCGAAGAAGTGTCGCAGGGTTGGTCCCCTTTGTGTCACTTTTGAGGGAGTGACGGGGAAGGAGTCTTGAGTATTTCCATAGACCAAACTTGCGGTGATTATCTGACACCTGAAGCCTAGAACTATGTACGCTCCTTATTAGAACAACAAAAACAAACGTTAAGGATTATTACAGGTCTGGTTCTAGCTTGTAAAATAATTTGATTGGAAAAACAACATGAAAAATTAGTAAGTAAACGAAGAAAGTAATGTTGAATATAGATTCTGGTGTCTTTTCGAATACTTTCCCATACTAAGTAAGATCGAAGTTTCTAGGAGTATGGAGAAAGCAATGGGAAAAAAGGCTACAATGTATAATTATAATTTTCACGCTCTCCTTTTTCGATTTTCCAATTTGAAATAAATGAACGATAGAAGCTCAAAAAATATTGATATCAAAACTAAAACGAAAATTCTACTCTCGTGTAGACAACTCTGTTACCAGAAGTTAAATCTACCGTAAAAAAAACAATCATAAAGCGTTGTGAAACTAAACGTGAAATCAATGTTTTACATAATATATAACCCTCCCAGTGGCACTGCGGCATGGCTGTGGACTTACAACGGTAGAAATCGGGTTTCGATACCCATGGTGGACAGAGCACAGATAGCCCATTGTGTAGTTTTGTGCTTAATTGCAAACAAATATAATATATTAAATCTTACTACGTAATTTTTCTACAGATGATACTACTATCTGTCTGTATATATACCTTCGTCACCTAATAATTAATGTAATAAAGTCTAATATTAATTTAACAAGATTGAGATATCTCTAAGAATTGTAAAAGTATCTTATTCAAATATTTTTCATAATTTTCAATTTATTTTCCAAATCAAGAAACGTAAGTTTTTCAAAACTTTTTAAAGATTAGTCATGAAAATCACGTAAAATACCACGTTTATTATTCGTTGTAGGATTTGAAAATTCAAGTCTTTGCTAAAGTCTTTTTTATGCAGTTTAGCTGTAACTGGTGCTTTAAGGGCAATATTGACACCGTAAACGCTTTTTGCTCTTGTTTTTGGTGAGAAAATTGGTATTCACATTATTAACTATGGAAATTGAACACCTCTATTAACACTAGAAGATATAAGAAAAACTTTTCTCGTATTGTGATACGATTCACCAAGTTGTCTTTTTTTTATTTATAAATTATACACATGTCGTACTCTCAATTATTTTAGTTTGTACTATCACAGCTTTACCTGGCATCTAGAAACTAGTAATATTTTAAGGTAAGGTCTGCTATTTATGAAACAACGAATCACTAGATGGCGAAGCTTTTAATATTATAGTTTTGTCTTACATAAACATTAATAATTTGTCAGCAAAACAACTTAATATTTAAATATTTAATCTTCTAGGCTCAAAATATTCAGTAAACCCATAAAATTATTCTTTGTACAAGCTACCTCTGTTTAAAGACGGACTATATATATATATATATATATACATAGGGTTACAAAAACATAGGAAGATATATACATAGGGTTACAAAAACATGGGAAGATATATTAAAGGTATTAAGGTAATTCATTTATAACGACCATATTCCGATTAAAAATTATAAATATAAGTTATAGCGCTAAAATGCATAAGATTTTCTTTCCAGTTCCCGCATTATAACTGCATGATAAAAATATAAATATGTACATACAGCTCAATACGTGAGAATATCTTCCGCATGCATACCCAGTGTGTTTCGTATGGTTGATTGTTTTTGCTAGTAGATGGCACCACCAATTTTAAGGCCCTGTGGGAAGCATGTGTACAGCTGTGTATATATTTTTTACCGCCAAAAAATAACAGTCGAGTAAAGAGAGAGCACTGGAGAGTAATGCAGATACTATTTCACAAGACAAGTTCCATTTCTTAAGCAGCAAGTTTATTACGAGCCAAGCACAAGAAATTTAGTGAGTTAGCAAGTTTTCCCAAGGAGTAGACAAGAGCATAGATTCTCTTACACTATAGGTTCTTACCTTGCACTCTTAGACATTCCATACATAGACATATTTCCATTGACCACATCTACATCGCTATCTTGACTCGATGTGCCACCATTTTTGGCAGGTGGCTCCTCCTTGTGAGGTGTTAGATGATCTGGGACAGTGAGGCGATGATGGTGAGAAACATTCATTTTTCGAAAGCTTCCACGCGGTGAATGAGCCTCTTTCTATGGGTAAAAACCAATATTTCTCTTTTTACTACAATACAAGATTAGTCTCAAACCAAATATTTCTTTAATAATTTAAGTTACTTTATATTATAACGTAGTAAAACAATAAATAATTTGCAATACGAATATAAAATTTAATGATACCAATTTCACTTTCTCTACAGTTTTTATTGATGCTATTATCAATATATTTTTTTGAAACATTGCAATAACTGCACTTGAAGAAGAGTTGCGATTATGAAGGATACAAATAAAGTATATTTATTTAAACTAACTATGACTTGTTTATTCTGACAACGACCAACTAAAAAACTTTTACCAGAACTGAACACTGACATAAAAGTTAAGCTCTATTTCAGTACACCATGATGCTTTTTTTATTAATAACGACGCCACCTACCGAGGGCGATGTCAACAATGTTTGGAAATTTTCTGACTGGTCTGTTGCTTGTTTAACAACTTCCTTACTCTAAAACACGCAAAAATCACAACAAGAAGAATAAATTAGGAATATTGAAGTTTACAGTTAAATTTTTATAAATTAAATGAAATTGTATTTCATTTATCAACTCTAATATCGTTATCTACTAACATGCCAAGTAGCAAATAACCTAATTTAACTTTAGCATATTTACTAACCTTTATAGTTTGTATTTCACGTTTGTATATCAGGTCATCAAATTTATCCAGGTCTTCTCGTCTTACAATTCCTCGGATATGAGTCATCAATAGATACTGAGCAGAGAAAAAAAATCCATCAAAATCGAAAGAAAGTTATCATTTATTTCTATTTTTTGAATTTTGTTTAGTTTTGACAATTCCAAAATAGTCAGACATCATTCAAAGTGATTTCGTAAGTTATAAAACTTTAAAATCACACTACTTGCAAATTAGGTTTACTTAAAATACTATATCCACAACAGTATATATCTAAGCACCCCTAGTGAAATTTTCATTGGTGGAATTGAATTAGCCTACTTCGTCTGTGAAAAAAAATAAAAACTTGGTGATTATCCATTATATCTCGTTTTATTGCTAAAACTTAAAAAATAACAAATTGAGAT